TGTACCAGAATTCGAGGCGGGAGGTTATGCGAACCGTGGTATTTGATCCTTTGCTGGGCTCCCCATATAGGGCCACGAAGCGTGTGAGGGGCGTGTGCCGCAATCGGAGGCGGGAACTCGTGTGCATTTTGGCATTTCGGCTCCAGTTCGGGCCCCCTTTATGGGGCCACGGAACGTGTGAGGGGTGTGTCGGAAAGAGAGGCAGGAACTCATTTGAATTTCGCATTTGAGCACTTGGGGCTTCCTATGGGGCCACGCAGCGTGTGAGGGGCGTGCCGAAATGAGGGCGGGAACTCGTGTGAACTTTTGCATTTGGGTTTCTGTTTGGCCTTCGTACAGGCCCACGCAATGAGGGAGCGGTGTGCCGACATGGGAAACTTGAGCATGTGTGATTGTTGGCATGTGGGCCTTCGTTGGGGCTCCCCATTGGGCCATGAAGCGTGCGAGGGGTGTGCCGAGATGATCGGCGGAAGCTCGTGTGAATTTCGGTATTTGAGCTTTAGTTGGGACCCCCTCTGACGTATGGGGGGCGTGCCGAAATTAGAGCCGGGAGCTCATGCCAACCGTGGCATCTGGGTTGTAGACGGAGCCCCCACATAGGGCCACGGAACGTATGAGGGGCGATGCCGAAATGAAAGGCGTGAGTTCATGCTGACCCTAGCACTTGGTACTTAGGTTGGAGCTTCCTATGGGGTCCCGCAGCGTGCCGACATGAGAGGCGGGAGCCCATGTGAACTTTGGCAGTCGGGCCTTGGTTTGGGCTCCCTGTGGGGCCCCGGAACGTGTGAGTGCTGTGCCGAAATGGGAGGCGGGAATTTGTCTGTGTGGTTTGCATTTGGGCCTTAGTTTGGCCTCCTTGCTGGGCCACACAACGTGGGAGGGGTGTGTCGAAATCAGAGGCGGGCACTTCTGCAATTTTTGGCAGGTGGGCCTTAGTTGGGGCTCCCGATGGGGCCATGGAACTTGCGAGGGGCGTGCCGACATGTAAGGAGAGAGGATGAGGAGGAGGAGGAGGAGGAGGAGGACGAGGAGGAGGGGGAGGAGGAGGAGGGGGAGGAGGGGGAGGAGGAGGAGGAGGAGGAGGAGGAGGGATGTCGCGGGAGCGCTGCTGATTCAAAACGAGGACCTAACACCACAGAGTGGTTGGACAACACAAACAGCCTCCCTGCAGCTCTGACGTCGCATCTTTTTCAGGGAAGGCGATGTTTGAGTTGTTCGGGCCCTGGGACCCTCGCCGATCGATTCGAGGCGGGGTCCAGGACTCGGGACGTGATTCTCCGCGAGGTCACGTGCACTTTTTCGCAACGTCGGATCTCAAGGCCCAGCGTCGCGGTAACAGTCATGGATGCGGATGTTCGGCAATCTGGGCGTCCGTAGCTCAGATCGGGACCGTGACCATCAAGAAGGTGTTTGCGACGGCAAAATCGCCACGACGCTGGAGTTCTGCGACACTTGCGCAATTCGGTTCGTAATTCCTTTCGTGCCCAGTGCCATGTCTGAAGCAAGCGACCAGCGCACATGGAATTATTGGCACCTGGCACCCCTCGAGCGCCTATAGGTTCCTTGGTGGTTCCTTGCCGTGTTCTGTCATATCTCGCGAATGACAACAGGAGATATGGCGCTATCATCAGCAGCTTACTTGGTACTCCACCAAGCGCCCTTAGCGTCCTTGTTTACACTTGGCCCCCATCCGCTGTCGCTTCCCCTGCTCAAGACTTCAAACGGTCTTTTTCCAACCCGACCGTCCAGAGCTGCTACATTACAAGAAGAAGCCAGCCCGCCAGCGATGCCTACCGCGGCCGCCAGGCCCCAGTATTCCCAGTATTCTCGACTGCCCCGAGGATCCCAGCTCGCCCACCAGTCCTGCATACCGCGGCCGCCAGGCCCCAGTACCCCCGAGTGTCCTGCGTATCCCGCCTCGCCGTGCACCGGACACCGACACGGTAGAAGCATTTAGCGACAAATCAGTCATGGCAGGCGTCACGATGTCACGCCGTCCACTGACATCTATGACTGACATGAGTAGCAGACATGAAGATGACAAACACCAATTAGATACGCCAGTACCAAGTTTTAGTAACACACGCGCACCAGTCATATGATGACATTCTGATGAGACCACATAGCAGGCACCAACAATGTGCACGAACACGGTACACCCAGATTATGCAGCATGCAGCAGTAACGTACACACGTGCATACAGCAAACATTTTGGGTAGAGGCTTACTTGAGCCGTTTGGGGGTAAGAGCTCTGGGGCAGGCCGCGGAGGGCTTCCCAGGGGCCCCTCCCTTCCGCTTTGTAGCCGCTTTGGCTCAACTCCGCTTTGTAGCCGCTTTGGCTCAACTGGCCCTCTGCGAGGGCATGCGATTGCCTGGGCCCGCGTCCTCCCCTCCGGCGGGCCATCGCGGGCCGTGGCCGCCAGCGCCTCCGGCGAAGGCGCCGTCGGGCTGGTGGGAGAGCCGGGCCCCGCGGCCGCCCTGGGTGGCGGCCCCTGCGGAGGCGGCTGGGCCAGCCGCCGCCCGTCGACTCCTGAGTTCGGGGCCGAGCCGACCCCGCCGCTGGCGCCGAGGGAACCGCGGCCGGGGCAGCCGCTCCGCCGCCGGCGGAGCCCGCGGGCGCCGAGGCGCTGGCGCGGCAGGCGGGCAGCGCCGTGGGCTGGGCCCTGGTGTGGCGCCCGCACCCAGCGCTCGGGCCCGAACGGTGGGCCCCGCGCGCGCCGCTCGTGCACCTGTGGCTCTCGCCGGTGCAGCTGCACGAGAGCGGGCCGCCTGTGCGGGCCTGCGCGTGGTGCGGCGGGCGGCTGGGCGAGGCGCCCGCGTACTCGCTCGGCTCGCACGACCTCGTGGTGCCGGGCTGCGAGCTCTGCTGGACGCTGGGGCGGGCGCTGCAGAACGCGCACCGCGCGCTCTTCACGCCTGGCGAGCGCCGGGCTGCCCTGCCGCTGGCCGAGCACGTGGAGGCCATCGTGGCGGCCCTGGCTGGCCTCGCGGACGTGCCGCCGCCTCCGCCTCCGGCGTGAGGGATGCCGCCGAAGGGGCGAGCGGGGGCGGCTGCCGGGCGTGGGGGGCGCGGGCGTGGCCGCGGGCGCGGCGGAGCCGGGCGAGGAGCGGCCGCAGCTCATGGCGCGCGGGGCCGAGGTGCTGCCGCTGCTGCTCCCGCGCCGAAGCGGGCCCCACGCAGGCGCGCGGCCGCCGCGGCCCCTGGGGGTGCAGCCCTCTTCGCTGATGGCGGGCCGGGGCAGTTCGTCCCCTTGGCCGCGGGAGCGGCAGGTGCTGGTGCAGCCGGCGCGGCGGGCGGCCTCCCGTGCGGCGGAGGCGCGGTAGCCGCTGCTGCGCCCGCGGCTGGCGCGCGGCGGCGTGCTGGAGCAGCGGGCCCCAATCCTGCCGTGGCTGCTGCTGCGCAGGCTGGAGGAGGCAACCCTCAGGAGCTGGCCGCGGGGCTGGCGCAGATGGCGAGGGGCCTCGGCGTGGGCCTCAACCAGCAGCGCATCGCCGCGGCCATGCAGGCCATGCAGGCGGGTGGCGCTCCCGCGGCCGGAGCTCCCGCACAGCTCGGGCTCGGGGCTCATCTCGCTAGAGCCCTCGCCGCCCTGGGCGCTGCTGGCATGCCCGGCCCCGCGGGGCTAGGGGCCCCGCTGCTGCCGCCGGGGCTTCCTGGGGCTGCCGCGGCGCAGCCAGCGGTGGCGGGGCTTCAGGCCGCAGGCGCGTCGGGTGCTGGAGTCGTCGCTGCGGACGGCCCACACAGGCCGCAGGTGCTGGCTCAGGCGGCACTCACGACGGGCGGCATCATCGAAGAGCCGACGCGCGACGACGCGCTGGCGGTCACCGGCGCAGCGCTGCTGAAGCTGGGAACCATCTGGGCCGCGGACGTTCGATCTCGGCACATTCGCCACCGCCGTGTTCGGCGGCGCGTCGACGCCCGTCGGCGCGCTGCAGTTCGAGCAGGCTTTGGGGCGCCGACGGCGGAGCTCCGCTGGTTCACCTCTGCTCCAGTCCTCGCGATGGGGTGCCAGGCAGTGGCGGGCGCGTGCTGCGCGTGAGGAGCCCCTTGTAGCTCAGCGAGGCGTGGGCCCGCCCTGCCGCCCTGCCGCGCGCTGCCCCTGCGGGGGATGCCGGCGCGGACCCGCTCAGCGAGGCGAGGTCCAAGGGTGCGCTCGAGGCGAAGGTGGTGCAGCTGAAGCAGGCGCTCAAGCGGCATCGCGAGGGGCACGCCGACCTCTTCGCCGCCGCGGCCAAGAGGGCGCGGGGCTCCGCCGAGCCCGGCATCGCAGGCGACTGAGGCGAGGCCGAGCCGCTTTTTTCACGATGCCCCCTCTGGCTCCGTAACGAACCGGATCCAGCAAGCAGCGCGCCAACGCCCGGGCGCGCTGCTCGAGTCGGGCTTCTCCGAGATGGCTCGATTCCTGGGCGAGCGGGAGGGGGCGAGCACGGGGGGGCAGCTCAGCTCGAGTGGCCTACCTGAACAGCATCTTCTTTGGGCAGCACCCGCAGAGCGGCATGTCCCAGCACTCGGCGCGCGAGATGCGGACGATCGCGCACGCGATCGACGGGCTGCTCGAGGGGGAGCTGCCGGAGGTGGGCGACCTGCTCGTCCAGCGGCCGAAGGCGCTCGAGCTGAGTGTGCGCGAGAAGGACTGGGCCGCGGCCAGCCAGCTGGAGCTCATGGACGACCGGCCGGGGATCGTCAGCTTGTCGGAGCGCCAGGCTGCTGCCCAGCACGCGCTGATGCAGGCGCGCCTCGCGGAGGTGAGGAGCAATCTTAAGGGGCGCCCGGGCGCGAGTCCTGGATAGGGGCCCCGCGGGGGCGAGGGGCGAGGGGCCGCTCATCCCCTGAGGCGACCCTCCCCCGCTCGCGGAGCCGCCGCGGGCGGGCGCAGTCCCGCTCCGCCTCAGGCGGGGGGCGTTCCGTTCTGGAAGCGGAGCCATCGTGGCCGCCGCAAGGCGAAGGCGAAAGCCCAGCCGCGCCCGCCGCCACCGGGGCGTTCGGCGGGGCCCGCCAATGCAGCCCGCCCCGGTTGGGGGAGCTCCCGACGGCAGAGTGCGACTTGCCCCCGAGGCCGAGGCGGTGGCGGTGGATCGACGCTCGGCAGCAGACGCGGTCAGCGGCAACCCTGTCAGGAGGGTCACGCTGCGACCAGACGCCGACCAGCCCCCTGGCAATTCCGAAGTGCCTCCGTGGATCGAGAGGCCCCGATCCCCCCGCCCGAAGGGGCGCGGCGGAGGATCGAAGGGCGCGAAGGGCAAGGACGCCAAGGGAAAGCGCAGCAAGGGCAAGGGCAAGGGCAAGGGCAAGAAGGCCTAGCCGCCCGGCCGCCCTGGTGCCAGGAGAGGGCCCACCTCCCAGCTGCTGCTGCTGCCGCGAGCTCCGAGGTGCTGCCGGCCGCCCTCGGCGGGCTTGCTGGGAGAGGTCGCGCAGAGTGGAGTTGTACGGGGATCCAGTAGGGGCCTCGCGGCTCATTGGGGAGCTGCGAAGTGAGAAATTGTCGCCACGTTCGTGGGCTCCTTGGAGGTCACGCGTAGAGGAGTTGCACGGGGATCCAGTGAGGACGTCGCGGCTCCTTGGAGGGCTGCGAAGCGTGAAACCTGTTGCCACGTTCGCGGGCACTTGGGGTGTCCAGCGGAGCGGAGTTGTACGGGGGCTCCCTGGGGGCTGCGAAGTGTGAAACTTGTCGCGTTTGTCGCGGGCTCCTGGGAGGTCCAGCGGAGTGGATTTGCACGGGGGTCCAGTTGAGATTTCGCGGCTCCAATGGGGGTTGCGAAGTGCGGAATTGTCGCCACATTCATGTGCTCCCGGAAGGTCCAGCGAAGTGAAGTTCTACGGGGATCCAGTTGAGACCTCGCGGCTCCTTGGGCGGCTGCGACGTGTGACATTGTTGTCGTTTCCGTGGGTTCTTGGGAGGTCGCGCGGAGTGGAGTTGTACGGGGATCCAGTTGAGACCTCGCGGCTCCTTGGAGGACTGCGAAGTGCGAAACGTGTCGCCATTGTCGTGGGTTCTTGGGAGGTCGCGCGGGTTGGAATTGTACGGGGGTCCCGTCGAGATTTCGCGGCTCCAATGGGGGTTGCGAAGTGCGGAATTGTCGCCACATTCATGGGCTCCTGGAAGGTCCAGCGAAGTGAAGTTTTACGGGGATCCAGTTGAGACCTCGCGGCTCCTTGGGCGGCTGCGACGTGTGACATTGTTGTCGTTTCCGTGGGTTCTTGGGAGGTCGCGCGGAGTGAATGTGTACGGGGATCCAGTTGAGACCTCTCGGTTCTCAAACCTCCCGTGTCGGGTTCTCGTTTTGAATAGAGCGTTGTGGTCGAGTCTCCTCCTTCTTCTTCCACCTCTTGCTTTTTGCCTTCTACTTCCTGCCTCCCGTCGCGAGCATGGTTCGCGTGCCGTCGCTCTTTGGTTTGTGCTATCGCTACCGCCCGCTTTCGTGGGCTCCTGGGAGGTGGCGCGGAGCGGAGTTGTGCGGGGATCCAGTTGGGACCTCGCGGCTCGTTGGGGGGGGGCTGCGAAGTGCGCAATTGTCGCCATGCTCGTGGGCTTGTTTCTCGCCACATTCGTGGGCCCTTGGGGGGGTCCATCGGAACGGAGTTACACAGGGATCCCGTCGAGACTTCGCGGCTCCCTGGGGTGGGGGGGTGTTGCGAAGTGTGGATTGGTTGCCATTTTCGTGGGCTCCTGGGAGGTTCAGCGGGGTGGAGTTGTACATGTGTCCCGTCGAGACCTCGCGGCTACCTGGAGGGCTGCGAAGTGTGAATGTATCGACACTGTCGTGGGCTCCTGGGAGGTCGCGCGGAGTGGAGTCGCATGGGGATCCAGTTGAGACCTCGCGTTTCCCTGAGGGGCTGCGAAGTGTGAAACCTGTCGCGCACGTTCGTGGGTTCCTGGGAGATCGCGCGGAGTGGAAATGTACGGGGATCCAATCGACCTCGCGGCTCCCTGGGGGGCTGCGAAGTCTGAACTTGTCGCCTATGTCGTGGTCTCTTGGGAGGTCCAGCGAAGTCCCGTCGAGACCTCGCGGCTCCCTGGAGGGCTGCGAAGTGTGACATTATCGTCATGTTCGTTGGCTCCTGGGAGGTTACGCGTGTTGGAGCTTTACGGGGATCCAGTTGAGACCTTGCGGCTTGCTGGGGGCCTGCGAAGTGTGAATGTGTCGCCCTTTTCGTGGGCTCATGGGAGGTTCAGCGGAGTGGGACGACGTTTTTCCACTTGGGCGCTTGGGACCTCTATGGGGCGCGGCCGCGGTCGCTGGGCCTTGCCAGGCCGGCGGACGCTGTTCTCCGTCGCCCCAGGCCCGCCCTCGCCGCCGTCCGCGTGTGCCGTTCGTCGTCGTTCGTTGCCCGCCGTCGCCGTTGTCGGAGCGCGCATCCTCCCAACTTCTTGACCTTTCTCTTCGTTTTCGCCAGCCCGCCGCGGGAAACCAAAGACGCAATGATAACAATGAAGGCAAGGTCGCCACCACGGACATCCGCGACAAATCACACCACATGTGTTGTTATCATATGTTTTTCACGTGGTTGTGTTGGTTCCCGCCGCGTGTTTCAAAGTGGTTGTTATGTTTTCCATTGTTCCCTGTGTGCTGTCATAGGTGCACTTGTCCCAGGGCTTTATTTTCTTTCCGTGGGGGGCTGCCACGAGCGGAAACCTGTGGTGAGGCCGCCACAAGAAGGATTTGTTTGCAACGCCGTCACAAAAACGAGTCCTTGAGCAATCTCGCCACAAGCGGGATCCTTGTGCAATGCAGCCGAACAGTTTTCCGCAGCCCGCCGCGGAAATCAGGAACACACGGAAACTCAGCGAAAAAATGAAATCGCAGCGAAAAGCACAACAACTATGGTGTTTGCATGCGCTTCTTCACTGAATTTTATCGGAGTTCGTGTGTTGTCGTACTATTTGTTTGTTGCTCCTTGCTTTTCAGCTGTCTTTAGTGATTATTTAGTTGTTCATTGTTTTCCTTGTTTTTCCATGGGTGTTCCCGAGATCTGATTGGACACCGCAGAAGGAATATGTGCGTAAACTCGCCACCGGCTATCCTTTTGGGAGGCCGCCACACAGGAACCAGTTTGTAAGTCTGCAGACGAAAGAGTATTCGCAACGCTGCCACAAACGAAATCCGTTTGCAAGACCGCCAGGGCAGGAATCTTTGCATCAGACCGCCGCGCAATGAAATTCCTTGTAAGGCCACAGCAAGAGGAATCACAGTGCAACGCCGCCGCAAAATGATGTCGTTTAGAACGCCGTCACAAAATTGAAACTTGTTGTAAAACCGCCACAGCGGAATTCTCGTATAAGGCTGCCACAGGGAATCCTTGTTTCCCCACCCGACAGGTTGGGATTGTTAGGTTTCAAGAACACATGCCATGCTACATTAGCATACCGGAACATCACTTATCATAGTAGGACAGAACAGGACATAACAGAAAACATGACGTCAGATAACATAACATAACCGATCATCGCAGAACACATATTGACAGAACATATCATATCATGGCACAACATCAAAGAACACATATCATAACACGACAGCAGTGCATAGCGACGACGAACACGGCAGAACACAACATGACACAGCACGAACATGACATAGCATGACAGAACAGAAAATAGCAATGTCATTACAGACTAGGGCATAAAAGAACATCACATAGCACACCAGGTCATATAATGACATAACAGAAAACGACATAACACAACATAGTAGAATATACCCGAGCAAACACAGCACGTCTTGGCATACCATACCAGCTCATGGCGCAGCATCACAACATACATCATACCAAGACAGCAGAGCATAGCGACAGCAGAACATACCGTCAACAAACATAACATCACATAACATACAATAACATAACATGCCAGAGCAGAGGACGACAGACCACAGCATAACATAACAGAGCCTAGCATAACATTGCACAGATATCATATCATGGATCAGCATCACAGAGACTGTCATAACACGGCAGCAGAGCACAGCGACGACGAACAAGACAGAACACAACATGACACATCATACCATGACAGGACAGAACACGAGCATGACATAACATGACATACCATAATATAGCAAGGCCATGACAACATAGGGCATCACACCACATGACATAATACACCAGCGCATCACATGACAGCACAAGACGACATAACATGACATAACACAGCATAACCGTGCATAACATAAAACACCTTAACGTAACGTAGCATGTTATGACGCAGCATCACCGAACACATCAAAACACGACAGCATATCACAGCGCTACATACTAGCAGAGCAGATTATCATATACGATACAGGGCCGTCAACAACCGTAATATCACGGAACATACCAGAGCGGAACATGACATAACAGACAACGACATAACACAACATATCATAGCATCACCAATCGTAACATAACATGACATGACATTACATATCATATCAGATCTTGATTGCATCACGGAAATATTATACTACGACAGCGAAGCATAGACAAACATTCTAGCAGCGCAGATCATGAGACAATATATTGAGCCGAGCTGCCAACATCATCACGGAACAGAGCATACTAGAACATACTTTGACATAGTTGATTATGTCAAACATCGTGCCACAGAGCAGGCCATACCATAACATCTCATATCATATGGTGACAGAGATGCGCATAACATAACAATTCCACCAGAAAACCTATATATATATATGTATAAGTGAAGAAGAACATTATAACAGTAATAGACGACGCATCTAACATCACAAGCGTAACGACGTCACGCTGGCCCGTCGAGAGCAGAACCTGACATAATGGAGAAGAACATGAAAGAACGTGACTACATGGAAGTCGGTTGAATCGTTTTGGGATCCAGGAATGGCAGTTGCCGACCAATTAGACAACCGCGCGACGTCGGGATCAAACGCTCAAGGTTTTGGTCGGGATCCCTCGAAGCAAAATAATTGTTCAAAGGCCGCCCCAGGACAACCAGAAGGCGGAAACGAACTGGGCATAACTATCAGTTCCCATCAGGCCTTTGCCGATCACCAGATCTACCTTCTGCAGGTGGTAATCTAAGTCGATAAGTTTATTTTAGTGCTTGTAGCGCGTTCTATATCATCTCATCACACATACAGTTCAGCCAGGTTACGTGAGCACACATAGCGAACAGTTATCAAATATGAGTGGGAGACATTCTACCATTATGCTCAGCCTTTCCGCAGAGAGATGGGAGTTGCGGCGCTGGTTGAAACAGTCTCGTTCGCAAGGTTCGAAGTCCGCTCGCAGTTCAACATGGCAGCCGGAGTTTACCCTTGCGTGCGCACCCATGGTTTTCTGGA